ATATTTTCCAAGTCTTTCCATTTCCTTACACATCGGGTGGTATCATTCTTTCTAATGGAAGCATAGAATTCCATTGGATATGTATACCACATTTTCTTGATCCATTTATCTACCAAGGGGCATCTGGATTGGTTCCATGTCTTAGCTATGGTAAATAATGCTGCAATAAACATAGTTGTGCTGGTAGCTTTAGTATGGCCTTGTTTGTGGTCATAAGAAATATAGGTCCCATGGTTTCCCTTATTTGCAATACTTAGTATATACCTCTAGGATAATCTTAGCATATAAACAAAATATCTCAATAGCTATGTACATATGACCATATAAGATGATGCTAAATGAAATGAACTCCAAGACATGGACACAAGAGATTTTTCTTTGTTGTTGTTTTTAATGTACTATATGATTTTTTGTTTCTTTTGTATGTTCTCCCCCCTATGATATATCCTCTGTTGTTACTGTATTTGATTTTGGTACCATGGTATTGCATATATGTTTATTTGAATGAGGGAAGGGAAGGGGAACAACAGAATGGTGAGACAAAGAACAAGGTGGGAACCAATGCAACAGTGATATACACAAGACAATATGTTGGAAATAATCTGTATAAGTTGGAGGGGTTGCAAGAAAGAAAGATAGGAGAAAATTGAGGGAAAGGGTAACAAGATTGATAAGAATTGTACTCATCACCTTACTGAAATCCCTCAGCATATCACCTTGACAATAAAAAATAAATTATCACTTAAAAACAAAACAAAAAAAGAAGCTATATTTTCTGACTCAGATTGTTAAACCTTGGAGTTTTGCAGATCTCTCATATGCCTTATCTCTATAATACCTGAAAGGCAATTGAGAAATACTTCTACATTTATTAAGGCATAAACACTTTGGCCCCCAAATCACATTTCTGAGAAATTATCCTGAAGATATTCTTCCTCAAATACAAATATAATATTATTTTTTGTGATCCTTTCTATAGTAGAAGACATTCAGAATAACCCAAATTCCAGTAAATAAAAAACTGGATAAATAAATTATGGCACATCCATAGAGAAAAACTTTATATTGGATTAAAAAGTAATAATAGGAACATTGCCTGTGTATTGGAACAAAAGATTTCTACAAATAAGGTTGAATTAAAAAATACATAGTATAACCTGTAAAAAACTAAAGCTAGATCCTTATATATTATCCTGTGCCAGAATCAACTCCAAATGGATCAAAGACCTCCGAGTCAAAGCAGCTACCCTGAAAAGATTACAGGAAGGAATGGGAGAAACTCTAGAGCTCCTTGACACAGGCTGAAATTTTCCTAATAAAGTCCTAGGAACACAACCAATCAAAGAAAGTTTGGACAAATGGGATAGCATGAAACTGCAGAGCTTCTGCATGGCAAAAGACATAGCTAGCAAGATCAAAGCAAGCCCATAGATTGGAAGATCTTCACTAGCCATACAACAGACAAGGGTCTCATATCTAAAATAAACTTAGAACTCAAAAACTTTAATCCCCCAACAGCAAATCCTCAAAGAAACAACTGCCCAATAAATAAGTGGGCTAAAGACTTAAAGAGACACTTCTCTGAAGAGGAAATAAGAATGGCCAATAGAAAGATGAAGAAATGCTCAATTTCTATAGTCATAAAAGAAATGCCAATAAAGACAACATTGAGATACCACCTCACCCCAGTAAAGAATGGCTATAATCAAGAACTCTAATAACAACAGATGTTGGAGGGGATGTGGCCAAAAGAGAATCCTACCACATTGTTGGTGGGAGTGTAAACTTGTCCAACCACTTTGGACAGTAGTATGGAGGTTCCTCAAAAGACACCACATAGAGCTCCCCTATGACCCAGCAATCCCACTTTTGGGCATTTACCCAAATGATTACAAACAAGGCCATACTAAAGTTACCAGCACAACTATGTTTATTGCAGCATTATTCACCATAGCTAAGATATGGAATCAACCCAGATGCCCCTCAATAGATGAATGGAACAAGAAAATGTGTTATATATACATATATACATACACATATATACATACATACATACATATATATATATATATATATATATATATATATATATATATATATATAATGGAATTCTATGCTTCCAGAAGAAAGAATGACATCATGACACTGCCCCATTTGTTAGGAAATGGAAAGACTTGGAAAAAATTATATTAAGTGAAGTAAGCCAGGCCCAAAGAAACAAAGGTCCCATGGTTTCCCTTATCTGAAATAACTAGTATAAGTCTAGGTCAAGCAGAAAAGGTCAAAAGCTATGTTCATGTGACCATATAAGATAAGATTTCTAATTGAAATGAACCCCAATATATGGACACAGAGGTTTTATCTTTCTTGCTGTTGTTTTTAATGCACTTATAATGCACTATGTGACTTTTTTGTCTCTATTGTATGTTCTTCCCCCATGGGATAACCCCTGTTTTTACTGTATTTGGTTCCAGTACCATATATCATGTATATACACTTTTCTAATTTGGGGAGGGGAAGGGAAATAACAAAATGCTGAAATAAGGATACAGGTTGACCCATTGTAACAATGAGATGTTCAAGACACTATGTTGAAAATGAACTTTACAACGTCGGGGGGGTGGGAGGGAGGAGTTGGGAAGGTGGGGACAGAAGGGATGTTAGGGAAAAACACAGGAAGGGGTAACAATGCTCCATAGGAAATGTACTCATTACTTTACTCATGTAACTGTAACCCCTCTGTACAGTATCTTTTCCATAAAAAATATACATAACATAAAATGGTATATTAAAAATACACTTAACATAAAAATGGTGTCAAATAATATACATATTTCCTTGTGAAAATTGAAATACTCTAAAATGTTTTTATTTGCTTATATATGCATTTTGTGAAACTTGAAAAGATACTGAGCAGTTATGATATCATTCCTTAGGACAGGAAGGAAAGGAGGCACAAGAAATGAAGTGTAGTAATAGATGGAAGCTCTCACTTCATACTCAGTATTGAATTCTACATCATTTGTCACGATAGAGATTCAGAGAGAGTATGCTACAAATTTTCTTAGACCAACAGAATGATATCTTAGAGGATTCTAAAAAAAGTCACACAACATACCATATTTTTCAAGTACAATGAGATAAGCACTGGTGGCTCACACCTTTAATCCTAGCCACTCAGGAGGCTGAGATCTGAAAATCATGGTTCAAAGCCAGCGCCAGGAGCAAATTCTATCAGATTTTTTTTTTGGGGGGGGGGGGGGGTCCGGTCGTGAGGCCTGAACTCTGGGCCTGGGCGCTGTCCCTCAGCTCTTCAGCTCAAGGCTAGCACTCTACCACTTGAGCCACAGCGCCACTTCCGGCTTTTTTCTTTTTGCTTATGTGGTGCTGAGGAATTGAACCCAGGGCCTCGTGCACGCAAAGCAAGCCCTCTACCACTGAGCCACCTTCCCAGCCCCTTCTATCAGATTTTTATCTTCAATTAATCACCAGAAAACCAGAAGTGGCACTTTGACTGAAAAAGGTAGAACACCGGCCTTGAGCAAAAGAGCTCATGGATAGCGCCCAGGCTCCAAGTTCAAGCCCCACAACTGACAAAAAGCAAACAAATAAACAATAAAATATAATGGTGATAGTTACAAGGAGTAAGCGATTTTTAATTTTAAAAAATTACATTTATTCGCCTTACTTCTCATTTTTGGAGGTAACACAATGTAGTTTAGAATATTCAGTACACATTAAAAGCCAATAATACTTTAGTCAATGAAGAAAACACAAATCACTTAAAATATATATTCAGTAATGGGAATAAAATGTATAATTCTCAATTTAAAATACATCATCATCATCAAATTAGGTCAAGTTTATTTACTGAATTTAGTTCCTCTAGGCCAAGAATAAAAGACTCAGATTAAATGGCGAATAGATGCAAAGGCAAAGCAAATCAACTCCAGTTTCTAAAACATTAACAAGATACAGCAAACACGATCAATAAGACAAATAAAGAATGGTAAAATCAAAGCAGAGTCCAACAACTACCAATCACAATATACCACAAAGTATCAAATCTATCACAAATGACTAGCTGAAAAAAAAAGGAGAGCTGAATTTATGGTCATGTTTTTTTCAAAGTTAATTGAAAATATTACATACTCTATACTAATGGGTTAAAAGATATAAAAACTTCTGTGTTTGATTAAAGCTTTCCTGAATCCATCCTAGGTAAATATTATGTAAAATGATTCTTCATCTATGTTTTTAATACTTCAAAATAGTGTATCTCCAATCCTAGTTATTCAGAAGGTTGAAGTCTGGAGTACTAGTCCTGGCAGAAAAGTTTAGGAGACTCCATCTCCAAAAATAACCAGCAAAAAAGCAGAACCAGAAATGTGCCCCAAGCAAGCTGAGCAAGGAAAAGCCTTGAGTTCAAACACCAGAACCACAAAACAAAACAACAATAACACAAAAGAGTGATAGTATGGAAAGCATTGAAATGTGATAAGTTAACTAAGAATCAGAAAGAAATATACTGCTGAAGGGAGAATAAATACATTTGAAAGCAGATCACTCAACTGTTCAAGTCCAAGGTCCCTGAAGAACATTTGTACCAGTTTGAAACAAAGAATAGAGTTATTATTCTCATACCTTGACTCATTGAATACTAAAATATATTTAATGCACATTAAATCTGTACACATTAATGTTGGTGTACAAATATACTTAAAATGAAATCTTAGAATTTTCGTTTTTAATCAGACATACATCTCACACAAGAATTACATTAATTTGTATTCTATGAAACCACTATTATAAATATGAAGAAATATGAAGGAAAGTAGGAGCTCAAGGGTGATTTGCTCATAGCAGAATATTTAGGAAGTGGTAAAGCTAAGATCTGAATTGAAGAAGACAAGTGGAATTAAATAATGTAAAATATTTATAACTTTATGAATTTAAAATAATTTGTATTGGGAAAAAAGAACTAACCAGGCTTCACTTACCTGATAGAAAACTGTATAACTCTCCTTTTCATGGGCTCCTGTTTTTTACTTGGATATTTGACATTTATTTGATGGCGTTTTATGACTGGTTTCTTCAAAGGAAGGATGTCGTAATCAGGACAAGGAAAGAATAGTTTGGAAAGTGTGTTGGCAATTCTCCATCCAATGTACTTAGCAAAAGCTTCTTCCCCTGCACTTACTGAAACTTTTATGTTGTCTCTAGTGAAAGGATCCGTCTGGTCATTTAATTCAGCCTGTTGAAAGCAAAAGGAAGAACTTGTAATATAATTACACAAGGGAAAATTCTATTAATAAAGAACAAAATAGCCTGGCATTGGTGGTTCACGCCTGTAATGGTAGCTACTCAGGAGGCTGGGGATCAAAGCCAGCCCAGGCAGGAAAGTCCGGGAGACTCTTATCTCCAATTAACCACCAGAAAACCAGAAGTGGCACTGTGGCACAAGTGGTAGCGCACTCGCCTTGAGCTGAAGAGCTCAGGGACACCACCCAGGCCCAGAGTTCAAGCCCCATGACTGATAATATTATATGTATATGTCCAATTTTTATTGACTGATATTATAATCTTTCTGCTAAATAAAAATAAGTTTTACCCAGGTGGAGACTCATGCCTATAATCCTAACTACTCAGAAGTCTAAGATCTGAGGATCCTGGTTTGAAACCAGCTTGGGTAAGAAATTCCATGAGATTCTTATCTTCAACTAAACACCAAAAATAACTGGCAGTAGAGCTGTAGCTCAAGAGGGACAGTACTTATCCTTCAGCTAAAAAGCTTAGGGATAGTACCCAGGTTCTGAATTCAAAGCCCAGGAGTAGCACACATGCAAAAAATAATAAAAAATAAAAAATAAAATAACTTTTATTTGAAAAAATTTAGTCTACTTCAAATTTTAAAAATCATTACAAGAAATTTCAATAAGAAAAACATATATTAGAGGATATCTAGTCTTAGATTTTTGAAAATATGAGAAATTTGCATTTTAAAATTCATATATTTATTGCACAATAATTTCATAAACATTTAAATTTTTACTTGAGAAATCACATAGTCAAGAAGTGGCATTGTGGCTCAACTGGTAGAGAGCTTACTTTGAGCTAAACAGCTCAGGGACTGCACCCAGGCCCAGAGTTCAAGCCCCATGGTCAATTAAAAAAAAAGAAGAAAGAAAGAAAGAGAAATCAAGTAATCAGTCAAGATAGTATATATTCTATTGAATCAGATTTTGTTTATTTCTAGCACACAGCTATGCTTGTATTGAAATGAATAGAGCATTTTGTTGTTGTCAGTTGTGGAACTTGAACTCAGATCGTAGGTGCTATCCTTGAACTGTTTTTGCTCAAGGCTAGCACTCTACCACTTTGAGCCACAGCTCCTCTTCTGATTCTTTTGTTAGTTAATTGATGATAAAAGTCTCTTAGATTTTCCTGCCTGGGCTGGCTTTAAACCATGATCCTCAGATCACAGCCTCCTGAATAACTAGGATTACAGGTGTGAATCACCAGCTAGGACTTGAACAGAGCTATTTTTTTTCTTTTTGGAAATTTCTCATCTTTATTTTAACACACACTAGAAAAGCAAAAGTTGATAATGTCTGGGTATTGAGATACACTTCCAAAATTTGAATATTGTTCTCTGTTACCTTTGTTTTTTAAAATATATTTTATTGTAAAGATACTGTACAGAGGGGTTACAGTTACATGAGTAAGGTAGAGTACATTTCCTATCCCCTCCTTTGTTTTTCCCCTACCATTCCCTTCCCTCCCCACTCTCCCAACTCCTCCCTTCTCCCTCCCCCCAAGTTGTAAAGTTCATTTTCAACATTGTATCTTGCACATCTCATTGTTACAATGGGTCAACCTGTTTCCTTATTTCAGCATTTTGTTATTTCCTTTCCCCTCCCCAAATTAGAAAAATGTATATACAAGATGCAGGGCAGCGGAATCAAATACAGTGACAACAGGGGTTATACCAGGGGGGAAGAACATACAAAAGAAACAAAAAAATAACCTAGTATATTAAAAACAACAGCAACAAAGATAAAATCTCTTGTGTCCCTATTGTGGAGCATTTTTTATTTTTATTTTTATTGGTTGTAGAGCCTGAACTCAGGAACTGGGCGCTGTCTCTCAGCTCTTCAGCTCAAGGTCAGTGCTCTACCACTTGAGCCATAGCACCACTCCCGGCTTTTTCTGATTATGTCGTGCTAAGGAATCAAACCAAAGACCTCACGACGCAAGGCAAGCGCTCTACCACTGAGCCACCTTCCCAATCCCTTTTGGAACATTTTTTTTTGGCGGGGGAGAGGGGTCCCGGTCGTGGGGCCTGAACTCTGGGCCTGGGCGCTGTCCCTCAGCTCTTCAGCTCAAGGCTAGTGCTCTACCACTTGAGCCACAGTGCCACTTCCGGCTTTTTTGTTTTTCTGCTTATGTGGTGCTGAGGAATCGAACCCAGGGTCTCATGTATGCAAGGTAAGCACTCTACCACCGAGCCAACTTCCCAGCCTATTGGAGCATTTTTATAGAACAAAAATTTTATAGGACAAGGGCTTCTTTCGCTAAAATTTAAAACTTTCAGGAGTGAGACTTTAAATCTTTGAAAGTTTATTTTTAACTGACAAGAAATCATGAAAATTATACATTATGATTTGATACATGTAGCTTTTGATAAAAGTGAATGTTCTTGAATACCAGGAAAAGGGAAAATAAAACTTAGACTATTTAAGTAAAAGTGACTTAAGAAGGAACAGATTTCCTTTTCATGTTTAATAATATTCAAGACTGATTTTCATTACATTTTTCTGAAATGGCTTGAAGAATATTTTCCTTTTCTAAAATCAGTAATAATGCAAGAAAATGTAAATAAATGTCATAGTTTTGATTCCTTAATGTTTAGTATATTTTCACACAATTTCATTGTAATTTGAGCTGACTGCTGTCTATTTACATTTTAGTTTGTAAGTATTTCATTGAGTATTATCTGTCTTCATGTAGCTCATTACCAGTCATTTGGGATTCATCTTAGATGCCTGTAAATCCTGTTACAGAAAATATAGGAATGGGAAAAGAGCTGCATATGAACATCCAACTTAACTTCTTTAGCTGTGGTCTGATTCCCAGTTTACACTTGGCTCAATTAAATTCTTGTTCTAGTATTATTTAATAATCTAGACAAAAATAAAATGGAAAAATAGGCATACTACAGTCTCATGGTAGATATGTGTATAAAAAGAGTTAAAATCTTGAGGAAAATAACAGAAGTTAAGTAAGCAAGCATGAATTACTATATAATTCATTGAGGGTAAGAAAAATATCATGTAAAAAATTTAAAGGAATAAAGTGAAAATCAGGCAAGTAGGTAGACATATAATTCAGCAATGTCCTCCTATTTGTGCCCAAAGAAAACTAAATCACATATCAAAGGGATAACAAATCTTCATATAATAGCAATGGTGGTAGTCTCAACCTATATGCTCATGAACAAATGACTGAATAAAGAAAATTTGGTGCCTATCAGAATGGAATACTACTCATCCTTTGAAAAGAAGAGAAGCATTCTATTTGAAACAACATGTATGAATCTAGAGGATATTAACTGAAATATGTCAGGCAAAAAAAGACAAATACTGCAAGCTGTCAATTGCATAAAGAGCCTAAGAATATTCTAACTATATAAAGTGGGGGGAAAGAAAGCAGAATGGTAGTTACTTCTGGCTGAAGAGTGGATGATTGAGATGTTAGTAAAAAACACAAAGTCTGAGTTGGATAGGAGGAACAAACTTGAGGACTTACAGCATGTTAACTGTATTTAATAGATACATATTTTTGAAAAATGCTGAGTTTAAGTGTTCTGTAATGAAAATGATAACCATGTATGTAGTAAAAGATATGTCAATTTCCTTGATTTGATGACTCTATTATTATATATACATATGTCCCAAATATAAATATATTTGTAAATATATACAAATTTTTCAACTTAAAGTAATACCATCAAAAATGAGAAGCTATGTTTATATTAGTTCAATATTATTCCAGAAAAATAAAAACTTTACTACTAGTCTTCATTGAAATGTATCCACTGTTAAAATAACTATGATTTCTCTTTTCTCTGGATGTTGGAGAATTGTATGTATAAACATATAATTATGTTTATAATATTTCCAAGTGAGCAGATTGTTCTGCATATTATCCAGGCAGAAATTATGGACAGAGTATTCAGTTTGAAGCAGTTCTAACCAGGTCTCTGACTGTAGTTTTGAGTTTGAATCTGAAGTTTCATTTGTAAAATGGTTATAACACCTGTATAGTGTCTTCTAATTACTTTCTCTTGCTTAACTTTCCATAGAAAAATCACTTTGAAATATTATAATGCAGTGTAGCACACATATATTACAATGCAATAAACACAATCCCTAAGAATGTGATACAGGAATAAATAACTATCTTTAAACTATGTAATTATAGATGGCATCACTTGGTATCATAGAGTATTGATGTTCTTTTTATCATATCTCACATGACTGCCTCTTGCTCTCCTCCCTCCAAGACAGGCATGGCTATAGATCCAGAGGCTTGTTCTCTCAGAAATATAAAGCCTTTGTCACATCTTTCACTACGGTTTCCTCGTTGGAAGTACAAGTAAATTTCCATTCCTCGTTTATGTCTAAGATCTTCAACTTATAAAAATGTAGTCTCAAATCTTAGTCAAATGAAATATCTTCCTTATCTATAAATAATTGCTATTTATTTTCCTACAGAAAATAGTCTGGAAGAAATATCAGTTCTGTAGTATGAAAAATCTGAAATCAGGTCTAGTTCTTCCACTTGGTAGAAATAAGACAAAATGTTTTCAGTGTAGGTCTGTTTTGTGTTCAATTTTGTTTTGACTCGTTATATTCTGAAGGTAATAATGTCTACCTTTCAGGGTTTTGTGAGAGTTACCTGTGATCACACAGGATGACTTCTCTCACAAACTAAGAAACAGCTGACATTGGCTGCTTTCAGGGCTTGGCTACTATGGCAAACTAGTGCCTAATCATTGCATGACTACTGCCATCCAAAACAATTTATCACAGAATTACTTTTTTATTAAAAATGATCAAGTAAGATCATTAACTATATTTCTATAGTCATTTCTATTTCTATAGTCATTTTCCTTTTTTGACAACTATTATTCTAACATGTTACAATTCACTCTTACATGTCACCTTCATATAAACTTAAGTATTTACTTTT